GGCCGGCTTCCCGCCCCAGATGAGCACCGCGCGGATCTTCGCGCCCAGATGTGTCTTATTTCCCACGAACTCTTGCATGCCGATGAGGTTGAAGTGTTTCCGCAGCATTCCGAGGTGATCCTCGCACACACCAGCCGGTCCCCCGAATCCAGACACCAGGACCGCAGGCAGGCCCTCGTCCTCCATGCCCCCAGGTCGCACGCTGCTCCGCTGCCAGGCCGGGCAGAGTTGTTCAGACAACAGCCCTGCACTCCGCCTCCACCCTTACAAGGCTGGAATTCATTTGATTTCCTGGCTAAATTCCTATAAAACCTGAAGGGCAAGAGACCCAGCGCTCTGCCGGGAGCACCGTGTCCATCATGCCCACTTTGCTCGGCGCCTCACCTGCCCTGCAGCTGAAGTGGCCTCTGACCCCAACCCTGGAGTGTTCTCCTAGTGAGGAGGACAGGGCAGGTCCCCTTCCCCGCTCCCTCCCTACCTCTCCCTCCCCGCTCCCTCCCTTCCTCTCCTCCCCCTTCTCCTCTACCCGCTTCTCTCCTCTCCCTTCCTTCCCTCCTTCCTTTCCCTCCCTCTACCTCTCCTCTCCACCCGCTCCTCTTCATCCCCTCAAGCCCCCAAGCCCGGAGACAACCTGTGCGAGAGCCTGGAAGAGAATTTTAGGAGGCCTACCAATAACCAGGTAAGCCACTCCTGGATTACTGATCTGAACACCTGGGAGATAGGTGGTTTTTTTCCAGCTACTAAAATTTAGGATAATTAGTTATGCACGAGGTAATAAATAATAAAATTCAATGTGGATGAAGAAGGGGTTGATTCTGCCTCATGGGGTGATGCCATCCTGAATTCCTAACTCAGCAAGTCCTGGTGGGTCGTCACCCCACAGGCATGTAACAGTTTTAGTAAAAGGGTTACCTTTGCCTTATGCAGGCCCTGTCCATTGTTTCTGTGCTTTTAGGTTCACACACTTTTGAAACATCAGAATAATCCTTTTTCAGGGCATTGAAGTGTGACTACCCCCAAGAGAACACATGGTCTGTCAGCTATCCTGTAATCTAATCCTCACCAGCTTTCTCTCACCTTCATTTACCTTCCTCACATTCTCTCCTTGATTCAAAAAACAAAACAAAACAAAAACAAACACAAAACTCCCGCAAACTGTCATTCTGGGGAGCATTTGAGATCTTGCCTTCCAGCAATTGTCAGTTTGGGCTCAAATGAACTCTCATAAAAATTCTCTACGTGTTTGGAATTTCTTACATTGGCATGATAATTTTTTACTGTGAAAGTAAAAGACATTTATTATCATCTGTCTAATGAATTAAATAATGTTTTACATTCCTTGTTACTAATTAAAAATAAGAAATATCTAACATTTTATAGCTTTCCTCCAAAAAGCCGGTTGTGTTTCAGGAATTGAGACTAATGGATGCGTTTTATCTTTGAGTCATGAACTTAGCTAAAAATGTTTACAATTCATTCAAAGCTCAGAGCGTAATTGGTTAAAAAAAACTTCTCGGACTTTGAGTAGTTTAAAAGAGCATTATTCAAGATAAGATTCTAGTTTATTTTCAGACAGGCGGCTTGGTTCCTGACTTGCATTAACACTGGTCACAGAGCAGCGATATACCCACCACACCATTAGTGTCGGTGGTCTCATGTGGAAAAGATGCAAGATTCTTCAGGTGACTCGTGGCTGCTCCACGTGCTCAGACGGAGTGAGACTCCCAGTCAGGAGAATGGCAGCAGCTGTGCTGGGAGCACCGGGCGGATGCTGGGCCCTGGCCTTTCTTAGCCTCTTTCTCTCGCTCTATAATCCCCCTCAAAAGCTGGATTTTATTTCCCTCCCTGCCAAACTTGCCCTCTTGTCCTCTCTCCAACCCCTTTTAAAGTCTATTCTCTTCTCGCCCTCCAGTAGTTTTCTGCCCCCACCATGAGTATAAAATCAAAGTCACCTGTTCTGTCTCTCACAGACTCCTGGCTCGGAATCTGCACAAGACTCAGAAAACAGGCTGAAAAAAAGAATTTTCCTTAATGAGGAGATAGATGATGCTACGGTTAGCCCCTCTGCTTTCTTGTCAACCTTTGCAAAGTTTGGATTTGATGGAAAATTATCTGATCAGTACATGACCAGATAAGGGGACCTAAAAGATTAAGGTATGCCAAATGGTTTACAGATCCCTTAACAATCTGCTAGTTCAGGATCAATGCAAACTGCGCTGTCTGTACTTTTTATACGAAGTTTCTTCCATCACCATGTATCAACAAATCCAATATAATTTAAAACCAATACCATCACAATGTGTCTCAGCAAAAACAGGTGCTATGCTCCTAAAAAACTAGATTCATGTAAGGGAGAAAACTATGAACTAAAATCTGATGTGGGTACCTGAACTTTGCCCATTTAAAGCTTAACTAACTTAGATAAATAATAAATACCTGACCAAATTGAACTTTAAATTCACCTCAATCCTCTCCCAAACGAGGCAGATGTAAATAATAACAACATTGGATTTTCCCTGTTAAGTCCCTTAGGCTTCCTCAATGCGGGTCAGAATGGGTCTTAGGATTCTAGTGCATACCACCTGTCCCAGGTGAGGTCTAGGGTCACAGCCATATCTACACGGCAGAGCTCGGTTCAGCCTCCGGCCCACGCCACGACATCCTAGGTGCACACTTACCTTATGAAAAGACCCCAAATATAAGGAGCGCTTTCGTGGAAACCAGCCTCCCGGAGACGTCCTTGACAGTGAACGCCTAAGGTCTAAAAGCACAGACTTCTCACCCGCCCAGCACGCCCTACCTAGCCCCAGACTTCTCACCTGCCCAGCACGCCCTACCCCGCCCCACTGGCCCGGCTCCCGGCTGTGGTCCACTGCCCAGG